ATGAGTTTGGATGAGTTGGGATGAGTTTGGATGAGTTGGGATGGTGTTGGATGAGTTTGGGGTAGGGGTTGAGGTTATGGGCTTGGTGGCTAAGGCTTGGGGTTAGGAGCTGAGGTTTGGAGCTTCAAGGAAACACCTGAGGCCAGGGGGTGATCATCGATTGTTGCTCAGGAGCTGACCTAGAACAAGGGCGGATAAGGGCGGCCAGGCTAGTGTAACATCGGCGCTCGTTGAACGAGCACGACCAACAGAAACCATAGGCCAGCACCGGCCCATGTCCAAAACCTGAAGAGCTGTCCAAAAGGCTCTCACTGGGGAGGTGCTGGGAGGTTTTCTTCAGCGAACTGAGTGAAGGGACGGCGGTCAAAGTGGCGCAGGAGAGCAAGAGGGAGGCGGGGTGGAAGCTGACACGTGAGGGTTTCTAAGAATATGAGACCCTTTTTGATGGGTTTCAAGCGGAACAAAAAGAAACCCATCTACCTGAAGGGGTCCCCCAATTTTTGAGAAATGCCCATGTCATGTGTGTGTCTTTGCAAAAGGGTTTTCAAGGGTGCACGGGATGGGACACCAAGTCAGAGGGGGAGGGACGGACAAGGGACTTTTGTTTCCGGTGGAGGTGGACCGCATTACAAGAAAATTGTGCTTCCCCAATTGATCATATTAATATATTATATTCCCACGCCCGCGGAGCCAGGGAAGCGAGCCTTGTGTGGACAACAGTCCAACTTAAAGGAACCAGAAAATTAAGCGATAGCGCATGCGTGAGTCAGTGACGAACCCCGTTTTTTCCAAACGTCAGCCTGCTTACTGGATCTGTATTCTATTGGTGGTGCTTAAAAGCTAGTACAGGCTTGGAAGGCGTTCAATTGGGCGTCCCTACGAAGCACAACACGCAGCCTGTTCCATCCAATTTTGCTTCTGTCTTTGGGTGCAAACTTCAAAAGCTGATGCTTCGCGCTGTCCTCAAATCCCCTAACAGTCACAGACTTTTCGTGGGTTAAATTCGGAACCCCCCCGACTAACCGACAACCTAGTCTCAATGACCCTTACAAAATGGGTCCATGACCCCTTAATTTGGGGAATGACCCCATTTAAGGGTCATGGAGACTCCAGGTTTCGATTCAACTCAAAACTTCCGAGCAACCACATGGCTGGGCACCGCCATGGGTCCCAAAAAATCCGCTTCGCTGAAAACCAAAGGGCTCCTTCTCCGCCACCTGTGCGTCCTCCTTGAGGTCCACACCTTCCTGCCGAGTGATTCAACCCGACCAAAACCGATGGACTGACCTATATCAAGATCTCACGTCCCATCGAGATGGGCCAAAGAAGTCCAACCTTTTCATTTACCTATAAAGTTGGGACCATTTACCTTCCAAAATTGTATGTTCATTTATAAAGTTTGGACCAGTTACCTTCCAAAATGGTCTGAATAGCCTGAATGGTCTTCTCAAAGGTAATAATAAAAGTCCAGGAACTTAAGAAGTGAGAGATGATCTACACAGAACCATGTAAATCAAAGAGGCGGCGAAGACACCCAACTATACTTGGAATCATCCCTTATTAATCTTCATCTACCCGCGTTTTATCGTGGCTCATGTGTGTTTTTGGGAGGTAACCAAACTCTTTTCAGGGGCCCCAAAAATGGCTTCGGTTCTTCGTTTAGTTTCCCTTGTAAACCACCGAAACAAAGTATGCTCAAACTACGACGCGCCCATTTTTCACCTTGTGTTGCAAGGCGAACGGAAACCCGCAATTCTGCCTTGCTTAGATTTGCAAAATTGCATGTGCTGGGGCTTGCTGTCAACTCAAGCTAACATACAAGCTCCTTGCAAACACTGCATGCAGAAAGAGTGACCATGCAAAGAAAAAACTGATGCGAGACGCACCTATGCGAGACGCACCTTTGCGTTCAATATGATGTCCGCATTTTCGCTATATTTGCTGAACCGACAACATGGATGATGCCCTTTCAATCAAACACCACCACCAACTGCCGCCACTGCTGCCAGCGCGGCTTCCACCACCAGTTAAAGCAGCGACGACGACGATGACGGCAAGTGTTGAATGTTTATTCGGCTTGCACAAGCAGTTGTTGCAGCCCAATGCGAGTCTTGATTCAACAAGCCCCTGTTTGATATACAGTGACTTCCACAACCAACCGAATCGAAATTGTCAACAAACAGATCCCAATGGCCAGTCGTGGTGGGATGGCATTCCTGCGATCTGAACACTGACTGAACACTAACACTTCTCCAAGTTCCTTGGCCCACATCAGTCTGTGTCACATCTCAAGCCAACCCCCAGAAAATAATTCATTTTGGAGACAGGAAACATGACTTGGCCCGGCCTCCTGGAGCTCGTCTTGCATGGATCCCAGCAAGGTCTCATTCTTCTCGAGGGTCACCGTGAAGGATGTCTTCACCCCTGGCGCTGGGCAAATCGGCCAGACCGGAGGCCACGCCGAATGGGCATCGCCGGCCAGGGCCTGACGCCGGTCTGTGCGTCTCAGCTTCAAATGCCAAGGCCATACAAGAGTTAGGTTTGTTTTTGAGGGTGGCCCGTTTTGGTTGGCATAAAGCAAAACGAGGAAATTGCCATCATTTTTCTTGGGTCGCCCCCCATTTCGACACCCCATGTGCTCCCTTCAACACATACCCTTTGAAGTCTGGAGTCATGGATCGGCCGGAATTGGGTGGGCATCGCCAGGCAGGCAGTCAAGTTGCAGTGGCAAGCTCACGAACAAATAATCCCAGGCAGCCCCAGAACGGAATCTCCTTTTGAACCTTCCCTGAAAGGAGCCAATCTGGGGCCAATCCATAGCTTTCAGCTAGAAACAAACAACAGATGTTGTTTTTAGGATCTGGACCCCCAAACAAATGGCTCCGGCGTTCCTTTTTTCTGTTCCTTTCAAACTAAACCAAAACCGGCGTACCCTGAAAACCTACAGACCCAGAAGTGCTTCCCACCAGATAAAACAAAAGTTCACACGCGGGCCCCAAGGAACCTGAAGGCCGGCGAGTATCCACCTTCCAATGTCAGAAGCTGTGACCTTCCTATGGGGAAGCTGGCAACACGCTGACGTGCGGCGCGGAGCCCGGAAGTAAAATATAAAAAAGAAAATCATGAGGGTTCCCCTGCCGATATGTTGGTAGGATGGCTGTGGGTCAAACATAGGCACCCAGAATTGAAGCCTGGCAACTGGAAACATGGACTAAAACGTGTTTTTTTTGGTGGTTTAATTTTGACCCATACCCATATGAAAGGCGCAAACAGAGTTGGAGCATACAAGGGAGCAAAGTGGTTGAGGCTGAAGAGGAACATTCAAATGTTGAGGCGCATCCGACGACGACACAGCAGAAAGTCATAGGCAAAATCTACCATCTAGACATTTGGAAACAACCACAAATCGCTCACAAGATCCCAAACCTCAAATGTGCTCTTGCATTCAGCCAGAATGTGGAAAGCATGAGAGCTGCACACGGAATGACTGCAGAACAGTGGGGTTGAGGATGAAAGTAACAACTGTCAAGGGACATCCAACCACAACACAGCAAATCATGCAAATTTGACAAGTTGAAAATCAATACAACTTAGAGAAAATGCATAATCTCGAGAATGTGGAAACCACGCAAAACCGCTTACGAGACCCAAGCTAAAAAGACACGCAACCCAAACACAAATTTCGAGAGAGCTCCGCCTTGTGCTGAGCCCAATGTTGGCAGGAAGTATGAAAGTTACAAATGGAGTTGAAGCAGTGAAGGGACATACTGCGGTTCGGTTTGGGGCTGAAGCTTGAATATATCAAGGCACATCCAACACCAACAGGGCAACCAATACACAAATGTCCAAACTTTGACAGTCAAAACAGATAGAGGGAACATGCATCATCTTGAGAATGTGAAAACCACCAAACATCGCGCACGAGAGCCTCAAACCGAAATGTGGCTCGAAACCCAGAAAAACCAACAAGTCTTTGAGCCACACTGTTGGTAGGAAGTATGAAAGCTAGAGATGAACCTGAAGCATTGAGGGAGTAAAGCGGTTGGGTTGTGGATAAACATGACAATGGGAATGTTCATCCACCGATGACACTGCCAAAGGGACAAAAGTACAAGATTGAAAGTCAAGAAATTCAGATGGAAGTTTAAGTTAAAACTGATATGTGGTGAAACCCACAAACTGCGAGAGTTCTCTGCTTCATTCACCCAACATGCTAGTTCAAAATCGAGTTGAAGCATAAAAGGTGAAGCAGCTGGGTTTGGGGCTGAAGCTTGAACAAGCAGCCGATGGAATGCTCCGACAACGTCTCACAAAGGCGCGGCTAAACGCGAGAGAGCAACTCGGAGGAGAAAAGCAGACTCCGAGAGAAGAGCGGCGCAGAAGCGGAGCGAAGCGTGGGGAGAAAAGCGGCCAAAGGAGCGGCGAATCAGGTCTTGGGTGAGGGGGGGGGGTCTTGGAGGCACGGACCAAAATAGAGTCGAAGCCCTGGTTTTGGGGCCGGGGGGAAGGGGGGTTGGGGGGCGGTGAGACAGGGCTAGATTTCACCATGTGAGATGATTGCTTCTTGGTTGGTCTGATTTGTTTGCTCATTTCATTGGTTGGTTGGATGGTTGGTTTACTTTTTGTTGCTCGGTTGGCTGGGTGGCTGTCTGGCTCGAAAAGTGCGCCCTTTCGACACTTTTGAGCCGCCCGCCTGGCGCCAAGCAGCCATTCTCACGTCGCCATGGCGCCAGAAAAGCGCTGGGCCCAAAAAGCGGCGGCGGCACTCACTGGCCATTTGTCCCGGAGGCCGACCAGTTGCTTTTGTTGCTTTTTGAGTTAGTACCCTTCAAAGGGAAACCAACAGGAAAACCATGGTTTTTGCGGTTCCCCTAAAAAACAGACAGACCTAGTTGATGTGGCGTGGCGCATGGTCAAGACTCGTGGACGGATGTGGCCATGAATTTCAGTTGGGAACCGTCGGGAAAGGGGCACGTGGACATGAGTCCTCTACATGATGTCCAACGTGTCCCCCTTTAAAGTTGACGCCCAAATACGCGGAATGGGCCTTGTTGAACAAGCGATCCATGAGAATCGCTTTCCCAAGCCTCCCCGCAAGCTTCGCTCGCTGAGGCTGTCACCGGTCCGAGAAGAAGAGGTGCGCGATCAAGCCACAGAACTGGGTCCGAGTCAAAAGTTGATGAATTGAGTGGTGTCCGCTGAAACGAGAAAGCCACTTTTGGAGGTTCCAAAAAGGAAAACGGACAAAACCCGGTTCTTGTGTTGACAACCAGGCGCACATGATTGGGAGAATCCTCCCGATAAGCCACGATGGATTACTCCTGACTTGTGTGAGAGGTGAGGGCTTGAAGGGTGATGGGCAATGGACTGCGGATATTGGATGCGCAGAAAGGGATGCCATGACTAGAGCTGTTGACACATGAACCGTCCGTCAAGCATTAAAACAAAAAACACAAAACACCACTCCACGTGTTGCAAGACGTGATGGACATCTCTCGACTTCCTCAGCTCTTGCCAGACACTTTTCTGGAGTTCCCTTCGGCTTCGTAGCGCCTCGTCCAAAGTCTTGGAAAAGCTGCTGGACTGGAAGTGCCCCTCTCTTGGCTGTGCGCCCCGAACCACTCGTGGATAAATGGAGAGGGTCTCATGAGGGAACCCCAGAAAGGGTGGTTTCCCTATGGTGTCTCTTTAACCCTCTTTTTAATGGGCACCCTCAAAACTTGGCTTTGGTTTTCCTTGGTTTTGTCTTGTTTTCCTTCCTTAAAACGGGTACCCTCAAAAAACGACACCCAAACGTCCGGCACGCACCAATCAGGAAGGTCCAGGTCACCATGACAATCCCAGCGCTCACAAAGGCCCCTGGCAGAGAGGAAGCAGTGCGCGGACAGCACCTGAGAGGCCGACATTTGGCTCACCTGTGATCCACCAAGAAAATCCCACCGCACAGCAACACGGAGCCAGGTCGAGAACCTCGACGCCCACATTCCGCCAAGACATTTCGTCGACGGCATCCGTGGCTGTGCAGCGAACTGGGCTTGAAAGATTGCGTGACGCCTGGCCTGCGACACATGGGCAAAAGCACATCAAGAAATACTGGCAGCATAGGTTCCTCCTTGTGCCAAGCGCCTGGTATAATTTAGCAGCAGATTCTTGAGTCAAAGGCGTGCAGGTTTCTTATCATTGTCTGGCAATCAAGGAACAAACATTAAGACTGGGCGGCGCGTTCCTTCAATGAGCGGCGGACATCAAGAGTTTTGCTGGCACCTTTTAGAAGTCTCTGTCCGGTAGCTCAGCTCGAGACGAGGCCAATCTGCAGATCAGAATTCTCGTCGTTCAGCTTGCCCTGACATGGGCCGGCGGCTGATAGACCCATGATCGGCAAATGCCAAGGATCCAAGCACAACGCCCCTTGTCAGAGCTAGACGCATTGCAACCGTGTGCCGTGACCCCATGTGATACATGAGCTCATGAGCCTTCTATGAAGCAATGAAGAACATGCGTCTTCTTTTCAGGGGACCAAAGGCTCCTAGAACTCATTTGGGTATATCAAAACAGGATGACCCCTGAAATCCAAAACGGGGTATTTTAGGGGTCCTTTTGGTTTCTGTTCAACACCCCGCAAACCGGGCACCCTATTTTACCCTCGAAAAAACACACGGCATATATGATAGAATGGAGCGCCTGGAGCTCAATATACCGCAACGCCGCGTAGGTGAAGACAGGCCTCGGGCACTGTGAGCTAACATACAGCGCACAGCCATCAGAGTACGAGCCATGTTCCTTTGCCTGTTTCGAGGGCAGTCATGCTTTGTTGGGTTTCAAAGGCAAATTACAGCAACCAAACACAATTTCGGGCGTCCCCTAAAAAATGACACCCCCCGTTGAGCTTTTCATTTGTTCCCTTGGCTACATACTTTATCAGGAAAATGGAATCACTGGCATAGCCTTCGAAGTGGTGGCTTTTGCCTTCCCCTGAAAGCCCTACACAAAGACTCACCATGGATTGTCATGGATTCTGTTCAAATCTGAATGTCAGTGCTGCAGTTGTTTGGCTTCGCTAAAATAATTGGTGGTTTGGTTCCATTTGGTTGTAAAGATGCTGGGGTTCACCAATCCAAACCACCAAATAAGAGCAACCTGAAGCCGTTGCCATACGTACTAGGGCGTATCACCAACTCGCCAAGGCTTGGGCATTTCTTTCTTTGGGGGACCCCCAAACTGGATTTGGAGTTCCTTTATGTTTCCCTTTAAACGCTACACAAACAATTGCCAACTCCAAAACAAGACAAACCCAAATCCTCGCTTCCGAACCGCCGACTGCCGGGTAGGTCCACGACGAGGCCCAAAGCACGGTGCGACCAAAGCCTCGGGGAAAGTCTCACTGACTCCCCCCAGGTAAATGACTTGCAGGGTAGAAAAAAGGAACCGCTTCTTTGTGGGGTTGACGATTTTAAGTCTGAGCCCAAACAAAAAATATAAGAAACAAAATAAATGGTGCCACTGAACAACTGGGGTGGGCCAAATGATGCTTACCAACCTGAGGTAGGGCGCCAAATTAGGAATGTGAGGTCGTTACCCCAAGGACATGGCTACTGCAAGGAGTCTCAAGAACTGGACGTGTTACCATGCCTGCATGGGTGTGTGCGTGTTGGTGTGGTGGTCTGGTTGTGTGTGCGCGTGTTTGGATGCGTGTGCGTGAGTGCGTGCATGCTTGCGTGCGTGCGTGGGCATCATCCTGATTCAGGGTGCACAACCTCTTTTGCTGCTTCACCTAATGCAAATGAACTGCAGCTGGAATGCATGTGATGCTGTACGCGAAGTTGTCAAAACAATCGCCCCTTTTGGACCCTGTTGCCGCCTTGTGCCGCCTTTTGACAAGCGTACCGAGAATGGCCCCAGATTTTGACAACCCTAAGCATGGAGCCATAAACAAGGATTGCACTGCTTGACGGCCAATTCAAAGCATTCTCACTTTTTAGAGGTTTGCAAACTGCTGCGAGAATGAACCGTAGGCATAACTCAACATGCAAAGTCGAAAAACCCAAACGGGCTGAAACCGAATGGACTTCTGGTGACCAGTGCTGGCAAACCCACAGGTCCACGACTTTCTCCTGGATGTTGCTGCTAAACTGGTCAGACAAACAGAAATGGCCCGTAAGCAGCCCTACTTGGACCTCCCCAAGCACTACCCTCCCCACGTTGCCATGGCAAGTCTGACAGAGGGTGCCATGTTATAACCTTGCTTCCTGAGTGCACTGGTCAACAAAATCGTCTTTTTGCTTACCACCAAAATGGCCTTCCCGAAAGCAAGTCCAGAAACTCAGGTGAGAAACTGTCACCACACTTCGGCCGGCTTTGGCGATCCAAACTCATCCACGAACGGACAAAGTCCCCAGCTAGCGAGCCAACACGCCGGCCCGGAGATCCTGCGACAGCGATTTGTGCTCAAACGAGGTCATTTCTCAGGCCCCGTTAAAAGCCAACACGGAGAAGCCGGAGCTTTTTCAATTCCCCCGCAAAACTTGAGAAAATCCAACCCCTAAACCAACTAAAAAGCTAAAAACCTAACAAACCAAATGGCGGAACCGAAGATCCATGGAGGGCGCCAGCAACTGGCGGATCTGCGGAAGCAACTGGCGGAAGCAATACCAAAGCTTTGCCAGATGCGAAGATGACGGCAATTGATGACCGCTTCAAGGCCAGGGAGGCTGAGCAGAAAAGCTGAAAACTTAAGGAACCGGATGCCTGGGAACCACTCAGATCGGTCACATGTTTTTGGAAGCAACGAGATCGGTGGTGTCTTTCAACCAATGTCGCCCTTTGGTTTCGTTTCACACAATCATCATCCAGATCCGCAAATCTGCAATCGTTAACTCAAAAAGCTCAAATACGAGATCCCCAAGTAAAGAACCTTCATCACTAGCTCGTTTTCTCTAGGCGCGCTCACAACGTCGGCAGTGGCTTAACCCATCCTCCGACAAACTGGTGAGCCGGTGGTGTGGTACCGCGCAAAGCCCCAGAGGAAGGCGTGCAAAGGCCTGACATGCAAACTTCCGCCTGCCCTTTGCTGCGACCCAAGAAGTTCTTCACTTGGCTGTGGCTCAAAAAAATGTACCCAAAATGGGTTGTTTTGGTAAGTGGAAACATGGACCAAAACCTGCGCAACCCCCCTGTCAAATTTTGAGCCGCGCCCACTTTTGGGATGCCCGTTTTCAGATCCCCTGCCATCAGAGTGACAAACCTTTAGTAGGTTGAATTCGGAAACGCAACCACAAAACCAACCCAGGACTTGTGGGTCCCCTCTCGACAACCCAAAGATCCAATAGAAGCCTGCTTAAATTGTCAAGCAAATCATCTTAAGTAGGTCGGTTTCAACCCAAAAATGAAAGTCCAAAGATCAGCCGAGCAACAGCTGCGCCTCCCTTAAAGCAACACAGAAGCAAGCCAATACACAAGGAATTCCAGACAAGACATGGCGGACGATTTCGAGACAATATTTCAGTGGGGGTTCTGTTTTTTGCAGCTTCCTTGCAAGAAAGTCAAAATCCGACAGGTTTTGAAAGCCATGACGGGGCCGATGCCTTGCTCGAATGCCATGTTTGGGTTCATAGGAAACCTAAAAGACTTGTCAAACAAAGGTGTCCCTTTGGCAAAATAGATGGATCTCCCTGGTAGATGGTTTATAAAACCAATCTCAACCAGCGCAACCGGTCGGTGTTTAGCCAAACTAATCTAAAAAGGACACCTATGTTGTCAAACCCAATGCCCCTGGGATGCTTTCTTAGCAGTTGTGCCTGTCCCTGGATGGGCATTACATCATGCCGAAGCTGATGTTTCAACAATTGTCCGGAGGGTGTGTCTTAAAAAAGACCCCCTAAAACTAGTGGGTTCCCTTTAGTTTCCCTTTAAGCCCGCAAAAAGGGATTGCTTAAGAGACAAACCCAACACGGGCTTGCTCAGTATGCCACGAGTCGTTCCTTTGAGATGGGAATGCAACGCGCCATTCCGACTCAAAACCACGCGCATCCGCATGAAAACTCGCGGGCCAAATGGGGCTCGCCAGATCTGTCCGACATCCTCAGGGTCATCGGAGTTCCTCTTAAGTTGATCAATGTACTGACTGGTTTCCATTGAAACGAACGCCACATTGGGAAGATTTAAAATGGAAATGGAGGATACCCTGGTTAACCCCATAGGCCACTAACCCATTGGGGGGTGAAATTAGTGAGGGTAAGGTAGGTAGGTGGGCAGGTATGTTGGTATGTAGGTATGTAGGTCGGTCGGTAGGTAGGTGGGGAGCTAGGTTCCTGCACCAAATCCCACTTCCTGAGTGGGTTGGCCAAGAATCCACACTTCTTCTTTTCCGCATGATCCAACCCCGGAAAATGACTCAAGACTAAAGTCCAACTCAGGGAGCGAGTCAGTTTGCTTTCCCTTCGGTTGCCCTTTGAATGCCAGGTTTTGAACTTTTGGGTTCAATGGAACACCCCACCAAACCAACTCCAACCCAATAGCAATCACGCCGAAAAAGTGCTCTGAAGCCCAGTTTTCCACAACCTTTGCCAAGGGATGGTCAAAACCAACAATCTAAGAAACCGGATGGCTGGGCCGTGCACCAAGCCTCCGAAAGGCTGCGAAAGAAAGGCAACTTGGGCTCCGGGCACTAGAAGCCCCACCGCCGCCAAGCGCACCGGCCAGGTGTTGCCCAAAAGCGCCACCTAGCGAGCGCAAAGGAGCCAGCGAGAGCGAGGCGCGCGAGACCTGACGCGAGTCACGGGTTAAAAACGAGCAGGCGACAGAACAAAATTATGTGACCCCACCCACACACACACTCACACGCACTGGATGGATTGGATGGAAATGAGGGTTATTTGAACTGCGCGGACTTGTCGCCGAGGTAGCACCACACACACACACACACACCCACGCACCCACGCACGCACGCACGCACGCACGCACGCACGCACGCACCCACACACACACACACATGGCACTGATTTGAGCTCTTTGGTTGGCTTGACATGACAAAAGGTGTAGAAAATAGGACCTGGTGACATCTCAACCGCCCCGGAACCCTCCGGAACCCTCCCTGAAAGCTGCCCCAAACCACCCAAGCCTATCTTGGCAAGGACCCCATAGCTTTCAGCATTGGGGAGTTGTGTGACCCCTTCAAGGGCAAAGATTTAAACTCTGGGATTTGCAAAGGAGTAACAGTGGAGGTTAGATACATTTTGTCTCTGTGACGAAGTGCAAAAAGTATTGAACAGCTGGCAATGGATATTGGGTGTAGGGCTCACTCCTGTGCATCCCCTCACCCAGTTCCATGTTTCAAGGGGATGCCCCAGAGCGGATTGCCTCAACACACGGGCACCTTTAAAAGGCGTGGCGGGCGTTCCGTTCGGTTTCTCTTTAAAACCATCTCAAAAAGAGACACCCAAACGTGAAACACCGTTTTGTTTTGTGGCAATGCGCGAACATGCTTCCTTTGAATTCAAGGAAAGGACGCCGGCCAGGTTCTGCAATGGCAAAGGCGTAGCAAGAACTCGAAGGAGCGCTCGGTCTTGAAGAATGGCTCCAGGAAAAGTAATGTTGAGGTACAACGAAAGGTGCAAAAACTTCTCATGTGGGACCTTGAAGGCGGGACAATCTGCCGTTGTCAGTCATCAAATAACGCCTGAATGGGGAAACAGGCCGGCGAGGCATGACCAAAGTCGATGTGGTCAGGATCTTTGACCCTCAGTCTCAAGTGTGTGGCGACGGACACACCCGAACCCGGCGACGACCTTGAATGGGAATATTCCAACACAGTTTGACCTTTTGGCAGCCTTTCACTGACTTGCAATGGGCATGTGGCACGTCTTCGACGCAACCTGTCTTGGGTGCTCTTGCAGGCTCAGGCGCAAACGCAAGCGTCAAACCCAAGCAAAACAGGAAGGCATGCCTGGCCAGGCATCTGAGGCCATGCCATCAAGGGCACCATAAAATTGGGAGTGGTTCGCTTGGACCCCTTATCAAAGAATAGCCAACCCTCAATTGGAGGTTTGGTTTGGTTTGGTTTGGTGGTTTGGTGGATTGGTGGTTTGGACAATAGGGGGCACCTGTCCCAGTTGCTTTCAAAAGGCGTCGGGGTTCAATTTCCCAACCGCCACCACATTCAGGGATATCTGACAGAAAGTGGCAAACAAACAACACGTGGGCCACGTGGGTGTGTCGTTGTTTTAGGTTGGATCCCCCCCCGCAAAAAAAAAGAGCAGAAATGAAACCATGGGCTGTCCTCAGATCCCCGCAGCTAAAAGATTAACTTTTAATGGCTTAAACGCAAAAACCAAACAGACTGGGCGCCCTTGTGGTTTCCCTTTAAACCCCCCACCCACCCACGAAAACAGCAAGAAAGCAGAATGCCCCCCCCAAAAGGAAAGAGGTATCCTGTTGGTTTCCCTTAACCTCAGCTTTAATCAGCTCGCCTCCCCCACATGGCACCCTCCTCCCTCCCTCCCGCCCTCCAAAAAAAAACACACAAAGACTGAGTGCCCTTTGGTTTCCATTTAAAACCTCCCCGCTCCCTAACAAAAAAAACAGATTCCCCCCAAAAAAAAACAACAACACACACACACACTCACACACACACAGAGCACTGCAAGCAGGCCAGCGCTTCACCAGCCAAATGCGATGCGTAGAGGCCAGAAATCCCCACATGGAGTGCACCTGGCGCTCGCCCGGGCCCCCCAAAAAAGCGACGCTTCAGCCAAGGGGCTGAAATATGGCTCCGTGTTTTTTTTGTTTACCCAAAATTTGTGGCTTTCCTTTCGGTTTTCCTGTAAAACCACAAGAAGAGAGGTACCCTTAAACAAAGAAAGACCTAGATAGGGGCCCTTTTTATCCGGCGAGAAGTGGGAAGCCACCTGTTACGCAGTTAGGCAGGGACGGCGCGTCCGAACGTCCGAATCCAAGCGGACCTCCCGGTGGGTCTTGGTCCAGAAGCGGTTCAAGCTCGCGGCCCAGTCCTAATGGCCATGGGCCCGCGTTCAGATCCCCAGTGACCAACTTTGAGTGGGCAAATGCGGCAAAATGGGGAAACGAATGACCGCTAAACACCAAAAGTCTTTAAAAAGCTAAGGAACCGGATGGCTGGGAGCCGAGATTGGACACAGGAAACAGTTGGGTGAAGTGGCTGGCTTGTCTTTTAGGTTCATGGCTTAACGGCGTTCCGTTGGGCTTAAGAGGATACCCTCAAACAAAGAACCACGCAGATGGCACGATTCTCCTCTTCACCATATGGGAGAAAAGCCAGCGCCTCTACTGTCCAACTGGGAAGCACCGATTAAACCTATCATGGGGCCACCAAAAATAAAAAAGGATTCCCACTGAAAGCAGGCACCCCCCATTTATGAAGGGGGTGTCTTAATCCCAAGTTCTCATTGTGTTGGAGGTCCACCCCTGGGCAAAAAGAAGCCCCAAGATGATCGCGCCAACTCCGTTTGGGGGACTTACACTTGTGGCTCTTCAGCGAGGTGAACCATGACGATCACACAGATTCAATTTGGGACCCGCGAATTGCAAGGCCCGAGCCGAGGCTGTCCAAAAGTGCCATGGCATTTTTGAGAATCCCGAGAGTGTCGATCTGGCTGTGGCTCAACATACCGGTACCAAAATGGAACCCTGGCTGGTAAGTGGAAACATGGACCAACACCTGCGTATCCCTTCCTGTTTAATTTTGAGCGCCCATCTAGATTCCTGGTACCATTTCGAACAATGAACCCTAAAGCCCAAACCCTGCACCTGCAATAATCCTGACAGCGAGCTCCAGTGAGGGTTTGCCAGCCAAATTACCACCACGAACCTGAAGAAAGCGCATACGCAAGTCCCCAGCAAAGCAAAACACGTCATCCTCTTTCAGGGTCGTTTGAGGGTCTCATTGGGGAGGTTGAAAGGCGACACCTAAAAGCCGTCCTTTTTGGGGTTATGTCAAGATAGACCTCTATGTGCTGCTCTCTGGCCAGGGAATCCTGCTGGCAGGACAAAACGGGGCTGACAACTTCCGTGCAAAGGAACCGGTGTTTTGACCATTTGGAGCCAACCCATGGCGGATTGCACGCAAGGCCCGCTCCTAAGAACGCGCAAGATACAAGCGTATGTTTTCTGTGAGATATAGAGGAACTCCAATCTTGCGCTGACTTTTCCCCTTCTTCGCAATGCCTAAAGCAGCCTAAAGACATGATTGGTATGAAGCTGCACCCGCCGATAGAGTCTGCGCCCATGGCCAAAGGACAAAAACCACTCGGGCCACCAAGACGCCATCTTGTGCAGGGCGGCAAAGCGCTCGCCGCCCGGCTGCTCAAAGAGCTGACTGCCATCCTGGATGGCGTCCGAAAGGTGGCTGAAATGGGGGTTCGGGGACCAATTCCCTTGACACCCGGATCCCCATTCTTTCTGGGGGTACCTTCCAATTCCGTTCTTTCTAGGAATCCGTCTTTCTACAGTTTTTCCAGAAACTCAGGGAAACGGCTGTTTGCTGAAACGAACGATGTTGACAAGAATGGGGAATCCACCCATATAAACTGGGCTGTCCGTTTTCAGATCCCCGCCCAAAAATGACGAAGTCTTAGCGGGTTGAAGTCGGACATGCAGCCACACAACACTAAACAGATCTCAAAACCTCAGGAACCGGATGGCTGGGAACCAGCAAGTTGTGGGGAAGTGCCCTAGACCCCCTTGTTTGGGTGGGCTTACACAGAGAACCAAAGGGAACCTCAAAGGGAGCCAAAGAAACACCCCACAAAACACGTGGGATATACCCAGCGAGTGGTATTCCGCCACAGCGCTCCGAGCATGTTCTGAGCCTCAGATATCTGAGGCACACATCAAACTCACCACAGATTCTGTAAGCTCAACTATGTTCTGCCAAGCTGAAGAGAGCGACAGTGCTGGACGTGGTCTGATTCCACTGTCATGCAAGCCATTGAGCGTTCGCATTCAAAAGCATGCATGCCAAAGCACCGCACATCTTTCAACTCTCCAGTCATCTTGCCCCTGGAAAGTCAATCCAACTCGCATGCAAGTGCGTGCTCTGTCGCTTTTTCTGCTGTGCCTTGCATCCAATCGCCCTAGGCAAGGATAACGAACCACTGCTACTCTGCCACATCATGAACGAAATGCTTCCCAACCTGTTCTGAGCCTCAGATATCTGAGGCACACATCAAACTCACCACAGATTCTGTAAGCTCAACTATGTTCTGCCAAGCTGAAGAGAGCGACAGTGCTGGACTCATCAACCAGCACCCGCTTCCGCACAGCATGGCGTGGTCTGATTCCACTGTCATGCAAGCCATTGAGCGTTCGCATTCAAAAACATGCATGCCAAAGCACCGCACATCTTTCAACTCTCCAGTCATCTTGCTCCTGGAAAGTGAATCCAACTCGCATGCAAGTGCGTGCTCAGTCGCTTTTTCTGCTGTGCCTTGCATCCAATCGCCCTAGGCAAGGATAACGAACCACTGCTACTCTGCCACATCATGAACGAAATGCTTCCCAACCTGTTCTGAGCCTCAGATATCTGAGGCACACATCAAACTCACCACAGATTCTGTAAGCTCAACTATGTTCTGCCAAGCTGAAGAGAGCGACAGTGCTGGACTCATCAGCCAGCACCCGCTTCCGCACAGCATGGCGTGGTCTCAGCCATCGATCGTTCGGATTCACAAACAACCCATACCAAAGCACCGCACATCTTTCAACTCTCCAGTCATCTTGCCCCTGGAAAGTCAATCCAACTCGCATGCAAGTGCGTGCTCAGTCGCTTTTTCTGCTGTGCCTTGCATCCAATCGCCCTAGGCAAGGATGACGAACCACTGCTACTCTGCCACATCATGAACGAAATGCTTCCCAACCTGTTCTGAGCCTCAGATATCTGAGGCACACATCAAACTCACCACAGATTCTGTAAGCTCAACTATGTTCTGCCAAGCTGAAGAGAGCGACAGTGCTGGACTCATCAGCCAGCACCCGCTTCCGCACAGCATGGCGTGGTCTCCGCCATCGATCGTTCGGATTCACAAACAACCCAAACCAAAGCACCGCACATCTTTCAACTCTCCAGTCATCTTGCCCCTGAGAAGTCAATTCAACTCCAATGCAGGTCCTTGCTCAGTCGCTTTTTCTGTTGTGCCTTGCATCCAATCGCCCTAGGCAAGGGGATAACGGACCACCGCTACTTTGCCACATGATATATGGACATGCTTCCAAGCCTGTTCTGAGCCTCAGATATCTGAGGCACACATCAAACTCACCACAGATTCTGTGAGCTCAACTATGTTCTGCCAAGCTGAAAAAAGCGACAGTGCTGGACTCATCAGCCAGCACCCGCTTCCGCACAGCATGGCGTGGTCTCCGCCATCGATCGTTCGGATTCACAAACAACCGTATCACCGCACATCTTTCAACTCTCCAGTCATCTTGCCCCTCAAAATTCGATCCAACTCCAATGCAGGTGCGTGCTCAGTCGCTTTTTCTGTTGTGCCTTGCATCCAATCGCCCTAGGCAAAGGATAACGGACCACCGCTACTTTGCCACATGATATAAGAATTGGACATGCTTCGAAGCCTGTTCTGAGCCTCAGATATCTGAGGCACACATCAAACTCACCACAGATTCTGTAAGCTCAACTATGTTCTGCCAAGCTGAAGAGAGCGACAATGCTGGACTCATCAACCAGCACCCGCTTCCGCACAGCATGGCGTGGTCTGATTCCACTGTCATGCAAGCCATTGAGCGTTCGCATTCAAAAACACGCATGCCAAAGCACCGCACATCTTTCAACTCTCCAGTCATCTTGCCCCTGGGAAGTCAATCCAACTCGCATGCAAGCGCGTGCTCAGTCGCTGTTTCTGTTGTGCCTTGCATCCAATCGCCCTAGGCAAAGGATAACGGACCACCGCTACTTTGCCACATGATATAACAATTGGACATGCTTCCAAGCCTGTTCTGAGCCTCAGATATCTGAGGCACACATCAAACTCACCACAGATTCTGTAAGCTCAACTATGTTCTGCCAAGCTGAAGAGAGCGACAGTGCTGGACTCATCAACCAGCACCCGCTTCCGCACAGCATGGCGTGGTCTCAGCCATCGATCGTTCGGATTCACAAACAACCCATACCAAAGCACCGCACATCTTCAACTCTCCAGTCATCTTGCCCCCGGGAAGTCAATCCAATTGCATGATCTGCTCCACGATGAACAAGCGAAATATCCGGAAAAAAATGACATCTGAGCTTGTCAGGAATTGGGGCTGCGCCAAGTTCAACACAGTATCTTGTCATGATTGTATGCAGTTCGAGAGACTTCATATCAGAGCCGCAAATTCCGTTCTGGCCCCGTCATGATGCCGACCTCTAATCGAAAGGCGATGGTGATATCCGGTAGTGATTGGGTGCATTGTAATCTCCGGGAAGTGTGGCTCACTTTCGCACCGGCAGGGGATGACTTGTTCGCTGCAAAGGCAGGGATGCTGTTGCTGCAGCACGCAACACTTCCAACAGATGCTTTCTCTGTTGCTGTGTCTCTTCCTGCAAAGGTCTGAGAAGATGGTGTCGGGCCTGAAATGATACATGAACCGCGCTCGCATTGTGCTTATGATCGATTCACTCAATATTAGGGACAGTGGCTTCAATCAGGTAATTTGCGCCATTCAACTATTTTCAACACGTGGGCTAGGAGCAAGAACTCCTACAAAGTTACTGGGTTCGTTACGAAATGATTGAGCTTGGCTTGCTGGGCGGAGGAAGAGCTTGCACTTCGTTCAACTCGTAGCAAACAAAAATATCCAGACAACCAATAAGGTCACTTTGGAGCAGCTACTATCGTGGATTCCATCAACTCTCAAGTTCTGATATTGAAGTCAAGCGAACGAGAAGGCAAAAGGCGAGTATAAGGAGAGACTCAACGTGAACTGGCGCGCTGTTGTCAATCCTACTACAAACATCAGGCTGCTCTCTAACTTCCCTCACAACAACTTATTGTCTCCCTCGTCCACCGCTTGCCCCGCGGGATGTAGACTCAGCCCCTCCTCCAACAAGAGCGACTCCCCCAAGCGCTTGGGGTCACAAAAAAGCTCGTTCCAGTCCTTAGCCAGTGGAGCGGGTTTGAAAGTCTTAGCGGGAATCCGTCTGTGTCTAGCTTTGAGTGTACACATTTTGTTGCTGCTCTCCTTGAGGCTGTATGCAGCTTAGTTCGGGCGCGCTTCAGGGTTTGCCACTTTGATGGAATCCTTGATGGGGTGGAACTGGTCCTGCAATTTGTGTTTTCCCGCTAGAACATCACCTCAAATACCAACTTGGACTTCTACACTGCTGATCTAAAGGGAAACTACACAAGCCAACAATCTTTACGCTGCTGATCTGGCCCGGAAATACACAAAAGCAACAATGTGGCTGCAAAATACACCAAAACAAAACAATAAACAACAACCATTGCAAAGAGATCAAAAAGCTGAGCTGCAACGGTCACTCACTGCGCTTGACCCAAGCCCATTGTAGTCAACCGGTGCATCCTAGATGTTCATCTTGATTCTTGATTGATATGAATCTGCCACATGGCCATGAATGTTGAGCGGCCCGTTGGTGGACATCACTTCCGAAGTGAACACCAACTCTTAAAAGTCTATGTATACACCCTTCCATTTGCTGAAGCCGCCAGGAAAGCAAAATCCAGCAGAGATAGACTCCCTGTGCAACCAACAAGGGCAACATGATATTTGTTTTGTTCAGCTTCTATACCTGAATCTGCCAAGCCAAAGGCAAGCCTTTCAAAGCTTGTCTGATTGGCAGTGGGCACCCCGGCGTCGTAGTTGGCCACATCCGCCGGCAGGAAGTTCTCGAAATCCTCGCGCCCGGGGCCCGGCAGGGGTGTCCTTTTAGGTTGGAAATAGATGGATCTCCCTGGCAGATGGGAAAAAACAACACCAGGTAAACCGATCGGAATCGAAACCCATCTAGTTGTTTTACTTAAAAACAACCAAAAAGGACACCTATGGTTTGAACCGGGTGTCGGTTTTTTGGACAACTACCAAAAGGAAACCTACTGTTTTGCTTGAAAAGCTGTAGTTTGAACATGGTGCTTTTGAAGGAAACCAAAAGGACAACTACCCTCCCAGCAATCGTCACAGCCGGAACCTGACAGGGAGAGGGGTCCCTTTGAAAGGGAGAACGGCAGGTTCCATATGTCAATTGGTGGGAGTACGTACCTTTTTGCTTTGAGGGGGGGGGGACCCCAAAAAAGACACACCCAAGTCTCACCAAAGGATCGGGGATCAAGATTATCACTCGGGAAGTTGGGGGGGCCCGGCTCTGGATCCCAGCAAGCCCCGACTCGAGTGATCTTCGGACCCCCCAAAAGGGTGATCTAACCGATGGGAAAAAATCAGAACCTGCAAAAGAGGAGCCACGGACCAAAGTTAGAGAAGCAGAAAGTTTGGGGTACTCTAAGGCGAAATATTGCATGCCAATCATCTCCACCAATGCTTCAAGACAGGGTATGGGTGTCTTTTCTAGGAGAGCCCAAAAAAAACGAAAAACGAAAGAAACAAGTGGTTGTCCTTCCAACCAAAAAGGGGTACCCTCAAAAATACAAATCTCCCACAAAATTGTGTCTTCCCCCAAAAGTCGTGTTTTACCCCCAAAAGTGGCCAATATTCGTTCGGCACCAAATTTACTCAAAGCAAATGATGCTCCTCCCCCCAAAAGGTGCCAAATTGGATGTGCCATCGTCAGAACCGAGGTTTCTCGTGCCTCAACCCTCCGGCTCAAGATATGCAGGTTATGGGTGTGTCTGTCTGTGCACGTGCGCGGTTCAGTGCGAAACCGCACCTCGCCTTGTGCAGGATCTTTGAGTCCTTGCCGTTTTTCTCATTGATGTCCACCTTCTCGTACCTTCCGGTGAGCTGCAGGAGCAGAACGCGAATGAAACATGATGAAAGATTGGCACGCACAACACTCGCGTCAGCATAGGGGGACCCATTGGGTGGTTTCCACTGGTCTACCTTCACAACCCCAAATAGAACGGTTCCCTCCTGTCCACAAACATGGAATCCGCCCTTTCGGGGTGAGGCTTGGACCATTTTCCCTTCAAAAGTCCGCCGGGGCCATTTCCCCGGTGGATTCGATGGCAAACGGGAGGGCCCACAAAAGCAGACAGTCAACCATGGCAGCGAGCGAATTTCTCGGGAAGCTTCGAGCGACAAAAGGGGCTCGGGCACCATTCTTCGAAGACCACATTGTAGATGGGTCGAATCACCTCGCCACTTGGGATGAGAAAAACGTCGCCCGAAAATCAATCGTCCCCATGAGTTTCACGCGGCCTCATGAATGTACCAGCCACTACCGATCTGACTTTCTGCCTTATGACCTCAAAGGGCTCAGGGTTTGCACAATTGGGCAATGAGTGGTTTCTGAACCGCAACATAAAACTCTGCCCAACATAGCCTGAGAGTTGATGGGAGTATATGGGAGTGGCTCAAAATGAAAAAGCTGGCGCAAACCGCAGGTGTTCGTCTTTGTTTCCTTGCGATGGGGTGAGCAAAAGTTCCTTGACATGCAATGGCCAGTCAGGAAACCACCAAAAAAGAGGGCTTTCGCCACATGGGACGAGTTAGCCATGGTCACATTTGGGGCCTTTCAGGGAATATAGATCAACTCCCGTACACGTGAGCGGTGCCGAAAACAGGGTGCATAACACCCTCTACTAACAAACCGCTTTCGCGGAACCTTTCGCGCTGCTTTCGCGGCCACACGTTTCACTTTCGCAGGCATGTGCTTTGTAATGATCACTTTCTCGGAGCTTTCGCAGGCAACACAGAAACTGCAAAACGTGCGCTTCCGCGACGCTTTCGCGGGTTCTTCTTCACCCACTTTCGCCGCAAGCCCTCGCTCGCTCAAACGCGCTCTCGTTTTAGCTTTCGCCAAAACGCGAGCGCTAGAAGTTCTTTCATGAGGGTTTGTTTGCGCTTCCCACGCGTCCACTTTGGGCACCGTTTCGAGCCACTGCCTGATTGATCCTCGCGCCTTGGAGAGGAACTTGTTGCTCTGGAAGGACCCGCCGGGAGCACTGGCAGAGGGAGGCTGGGATCACAGGGCACCCGGGGAGGTCCCTTAAAGGGGAGTCCTCCAAAACTGGGTCCTCAAATCCCTGCTACAAGTGACTAACTTTTGAGTGGGCTAAACTCGGAAACCCAACCACTAAGCCAACTAAAAACCCCAAAAAGGCTAAGTTGAACCGGATGGCCGAAAAGCCACCAAGAGAAGACCTGGTCTTTGGGGTTCCATATTCTGTAGAGTCAAGAAAAGTGCAAGGCGCTGGAATGATCACTACTGACTCCTGGTCATGGATGACTCTGAAAGGATTCAGTCGGGATGCCGCAATCTATCAGCTTCCCTTGAGAAGGGTGGTTTGGGGCCCGGTGATTTGGTGCTTAACGAGCGGTTTCCCATTTACCCTCTACAAGAAGCAGGGCTTGAAATCCAAATCCAATCCAATTCAATCTACCAACTAGGGCTAACCTGAATCTGGCTGGTTGGATCGCAGTAAAACAATACGATGTATTGTCTTTAAGTACAAGCTGGCCAGGTATGGCTCGTGGGTTCTGGAATTAGTTTGTCCCCATAGTTCCCTGTGCTTCCCCCAACATCACCCCACCAAAAGGAAACTCACCTTGACGGCCCAAGGGATCTTCTTCCATTTGAATCAGGCCCCTAAAAAACATATGAGAAAATACGCCCAATAGTGAAATCGATTCCCTGTACAACCAACAGGGGGAGAAAACATAATACCCTTTCAACATATAAAGAGACACAAATCATTTCCCGAACGCTTCCCTGCTCTCACCGCAACGCATGCGACAGCCTGGCAGATCCGCCATAAAGCCCCGAGGCGGCTGAGTCCTGCAAAACTCTCACGGTGACGTGTCTCACTTCCCATCGAGCGCATGGGCCAAGAAAAGGTCTTACATGGGTGTTCGAGTTGGTACCCCCTTTTGGTTGGTTACCACTTAAACTGGTCCAAACCCGAAAAGTGCTTAAAGGTCCGGGAAGTCAGGGAGTGAGTTGCAAATGGGTGGTGTCGAAATAGAATTGGTAACCCCAGAATGGAACGAACCCTTGCAAAAGGAAACAAGGACTAAAACCTGCGTGTTGTTTGGTTGTTTTATATGGGGACCCATACCTAAATGTTTTTTTGCGTGAGATCTGGCCAGCAAGTTTAATCGGGAGCGCCTTCCAAAATAATGGGGCTTGAACTCCCATGTCAACGAGCTTCGTGATAAGGAGCCTCCTTTTGAAAGTCTCAGTGTGTTTGACCATGCGTACACACCGACACACACACACACATGAACGTGTACCTCTTTCTGAAAAAACGGACATACGAACGCGAGCTCAGCGATGGTGAGATTCGTCATGCCCCTTTGTGGAACCCTTAAGGGCGCCATAACACCGACATGGGCCCAAACAAGGGGCCCCTTTTCTTGGTGGCTGTAACGACCCAGCAGCAAACACTTTCACTAACTTTGGGTAGGTTCAACGGAAAACCCTTGAATTCAACGAACATGTTACAGTCTGAAGATCCAACCCAATAGCAAACAAGTTTTGCAAACGTTGAGCAGCGAAGCAGGGTCGCGCCTGTGCCAATGCCATCTCCGTGAGGAAATAGATGACCTGCGCAAAGGGCGTCTCTCAAAGGAATCCTCCTTTTCTATGGCAACGTGTTCACTTTGAATGGGTTTCCCTTACAATACCGACCCAAAGGGGGGTCCTAAATCCATTTTGCCAAACTCCCTCTTGGAGCTTCGCTTCGAGCATTGCTCTGGACGCATGACAACAATGACAAGGCCCAGGGTCATGTCCCAATGTGGCCTGAACAACTTTTGAAGAAAGAGCTGTGGTTTGTCCAAATGATGCCAAATACTGAGCCAGGAATGCATGAGTGTATGACATGAATAGGACATGGTTGCTGAATTGTCAATTTCGGCTGACTTGTCACTCAATTTCTGAGGTGGGTCAAACAAATTCACGCTGTCACTAGCGTGGCTTGCTCCGAGTTGACGGACCAAGGGCGCCTGGAGTTTGGTGTCACATCAATGCCGCCAAAGGCAGCGCGAGGCAGGAACAGCTGCTTGGTATAACGTTAGTCCCTTCCTTCAGTGTCCAATACAGCCCAATGAACCATTGATATAGGTACGTGTCAAATAGGGGTACCCCCAAAACGATGGTTTTGATGCTGGATTCGATTCCCTTTAAGGCAGCCAAGAAAGGTGCCATTAAAAAAAAACAAAAAAACATTTAAACAAAAAATGGGGTTGATCAATACTCTGGTCTGCCGCCAAATGACCACGGGTAACTCTTCCCACTTCTCTGAGAATATCATCTTTTAGTGGTTGTCCCCAATAGTCTTCCCATGTAAAAAACCTCTTGATCAACCCCCATATCCAGCTACCGTGACACACGACTTTCTGTGTTGCGCGCCTCTGGCATGAAGCGAACGTTGCCACCCTCTCCCCAAACGAGCCTTGGCGCAAGTGCCGCATGCCACGTCGCCGTGGAAAAAAAAAGGGACCTAAAAGCCTGGGGTAAATTCATCCGACTCGGACAGCAAATGAGAATCATCTCAACAGAATCGTTCGTGGAATCCGTGTCCGGTTTGCCCGAGTCCAGGATTCTTTGCTCGAATATAGGAATCCACAGGAGCAGCTCTAAAAACCCCCCGTTACATCCCAAGCAAGAGTTGTGTCATAACAAGGCCCCGCGTAAGCAAAACCCTGCACGGCGTAAGCCGGCGTAAGCACTTTTCTGGGAAACATGCCGCGTAAGCACCTGCGTAAGCTCTTCTTCGTGATTGCTTGGTGAGCTTTGTAAGCATGCTCGGAAGAGTGGTTTCACACATGTGCTTATGTGTCTATTGGTGGCTTGTGCTGTTTCAACCAAGTCGAGCTTGGCAACTTGCCCGGAGACTTTGGCTGCAGGAAGACGTCTAAGACCGCATGTGCGCGCCATTAGAAAACAAAACCAGCATAAATTTGATTGGGAGCTCTGGGGGCTCATGCTAAGTGCTGTTGAAACCTTTACGAGGACAAAAACGGCTTCTGAAACTGCGATTTAGGAAAACTAAAGGTGCTCGGCTGCGTAAGCTCGCGTAAGCAGGCGCGTAAGGTTCGCGTAAGCTCGCCTACTCGGCTGCCGACTAGCCCTCGCCATGGATGCCGCTGTCGCATAACCCGTTCTTGACTTGCAGTAAGAACAGCAAGGCCAAGCCGCTGAAACTCGCAAGGGTAATTCTTCCTCATCTTCTTCCTCGGAGTCATCCACATCATCTTGAACAGTTCCCGCGGCTGCATGAGAAAAGAGCCCGCGTAAGCAATTCTTGAGGGAAAAGGCTCAAAACGCAGACGCGTAAGCGATTCGTAAGCTTAACGTGCTCGCTGACAGCAGCGTAAGCTAAAACATGGGTCGCGTAAGGAACGCGCAAGCTCGCGCGTAAGCAACTTGATATGACATAGGGATTCATGGGAGGTTTATAGAGTCGCACAGGGCAAAGGGCAGCCTGCTATATAGTGCCTCTTTCCACTGCGAGATGTTCAGGCCAAGAGCTTGCTTCGATTCCTCGATTCCAACGATGTACCCTCTCACTCTGCGCGCCCTCTGGGCGATGCGGCAGGTACGTCGCGATCTCTGCGAGTTGCCTCGCGCGGGCTCGCACCAAAGCAAGCCGTCGGACCATAGAGCCCTTGGATGAAGAAGACAAACTAGGGCCATCCCAAGGCTGACGTTTGTTCGATCAACATATCTGGGCTGTCCGTTTTCTGATCCCTCGCTAAAAGTGACTAACTTTTATTGGGTTAAATTCGGAAATCCAAAGGGGACGGCTGGGAACCAGCAAGAAATATCTCTTGCCTCTCCACATTCTGCTCCACAGGTTTGCCAAGGACATAAGTTCAAGCTCAACTTCGGACCATCAGACCG